CCCCCCCCCTTCAATTAGCCTGTGTGATTGGTTGATTCATTGTGCAGGATGAGTGAACGGCCGAGTTGACGAAGCTCGTTTCGATGGACTGCATGCCCACTCCACTGCCCCCGCCGCCACTTGTGGGTGCGCTGATGCCCTGGGGCAGGTCGGTGATGCCAGCCGACTCGGCCATCGCTCGGAAGATCGTGTCCTCCCGAAACAGGTTGACGGGCGTGTCGAACTCGGCTATCTTGCCGTCATCCATCACGACGATCCGATCTGCACAACACGACAGCAGCAGGCGGCTGTCAGCTGAAGAGTCAGTTATCTATGTGTCTGTCTGTCTGTCTGTCTGCTGGTCGCTTACCGTAGTCTAGAATGGTGTCGATTCGGTGTGCGATGGTCATGACGGTGCAGCCGCTGAATATCGTCCTGATGGACGTCTGGATGATCTTGTCGGTCAGCTGATCCACTGCACTGGTAGCCTCGTCGAGCAGCAGCACCTTGGACTTGCGAAGCAGCGCACGGGCAAGACAGATGAGCTGACGCTCACCTGCATCGCACCCACACGTACACAGAGACGGAGAGATGTATAACACCGAGTGGGTGGGTCGCCCAGTTACCGACCAAGGCTGAAGTTCCGTCCGCCCTCTTCGACGGTGGCCTCTAAGCCCCCCTCGACCTCTCTGATCTTGCGCGACAGGTGCGACCGCTCGAGGGCCTCCCACAGCTCATCGTCCGTCCGCTCGTTGAAAGGGTCCAGATTGGTCCGCACAGTGCCCGTGAACAAGACTGGGTCCTGCAGACCACAGACAGACAGACAGACAAGTGATGGGCAGGGAGGGGGGGAGGGGGGCGGGATGCGTAAGACACTACCTGAGGGATGATGCTGAATTTGGATCTGAGGTCATCCAGCCCGATGCTGGTCGTGGCTATCTTGTCCACCTCTACCACCCCGCCCGCAGGCTCCACCAGACGCAGAAGCGACGCCAACATAGACGACTTGCCCGCACCGGTCCGGCCAACGATACCCACCTGCACACCCACACCCAGAACCGACCAGTGAATGAATGAATGAATGGGTGGATGTTCGGTCACGTCTGCGTCTGTTCCATTCATTTTGTTTTGTGTACCGTACCCGCTCTCCCGGCCTGATGGACAGATTGATGCCTTTGAGCACCAGTGGGAGGCCGGGGCGGTACCTCATCTGGTAGTTCTTGAACTCGATCGCCCCTTGCTGCGGCCAGTCGGGCGGCGGCCGGTGGTCCTCATAGATGGCCTCCGCCTCGCGAGGGATGTCCTCGGCATATTCCTTAACGCGCTCCACGGAAACAATGTTGGTCTCACGCTCACTGACGACACACAGAAAAAGGGAAACAGTGCTCATATTCTGGATCCTTCTGGTTTCTGTGCAATGCATGTCGATACCTGGCCATTCGGACCATCCAGTTGAGGGACTGCGTCACGCTCAGGGCGTATGTGATGGCCAGACCGCCGAGACCAGCTGAGACGAGAGACTCGCCCGACACCATGAGGAGGGCTGTCAGCGACACCACACACGTGCCGACGAACTCAAGCCGCACAGCCAGCCACCTGTTGCTCGCCACATTCAGGTAATACGCCCTGCAGACACACACACAGAGAGAAGCATTGCCGCACTAGAGAGATTGCACCGATTGGTCTATGCATACCTGAGATTTGAGTCGATCTTCTTCTCATTCTGGTAGATGAATCTGTCTTGTGCTCTGAACGCCCTTATGGTGGGGACGCCGTCGAGCGTCTCGGAGAAGTGGGCGAAGATGGGCGACCGCAGCACACTGTCCAGCCGCTTCAGCTGACGGCTCGACGGGATGTAGTAGTTCTGTGTGTAGATGTAGAGCCAGCCGAGGGGCAGCAAAGCGACGATGAACCACGGGAGCACAACCGCGATGACCAGTATCGTGGCGATGACGGTGAACAGGATCAACATGTACGAGAACATGCTGTTCGGAAGCGACTCGTCGACTGAGCGGAACAGAACACAACACACCCAATACGGCGACCGACCATCCGTCCACCCATCTCTCCTTGACGTCTCCCCTCTATCGTCACGTGTCTCACTTGTGTAAGTGTCCTTCGAGAATCGGTTGAGCACTCGACCCAGCGGCGTCGTGTCGAAGAAGGCCATCGGGGCACGCATGATGCCGTTCAGCAGCCGCGAGTGGAATGTTCTGCCGCCCCGCTGCCCGGCGAGAGCGGTCAGGAGGATGGCGAAGAAGGTCACGACTGCACAAATCCACCCACCCCCATCCCACGCGCCGGGTGTGTGTGTGTGACAACATATATGTATAAGTACCAGTAGTAGATGTATAGTACCTGCTTGGAAGAGGCAGCAGAGGACGTACACGAGGAGGCCGATGTATTTGCCTATGTCGGGGTGGTCTGTCCAGTATGACAGCCAGGTGTTGGAGGCGACCCCGCCGAACTGCTGGGAGAGCATCGAGATTATCAGTGCCAGCACCATCAGCAGACCGCCACAGCCCTTGATGTACGCGAAGTACACCTGACACGACACCCACACGCACAGTTGCGTGTTGTGCGAGGGGCCTCTGTAGTGTGTGGTCACCCACATTGAGCGACACATTTCCGGCCTCGAGGTACTCCTTCTCGATGAGCGCGCCCTCTGCCCTCTTCTGTTCCTCCTTGCGCATGCTCTCCTGCCGTGACAGCCGCCTCTCTACCTGGGATGACGACTGCCGGCTGACGTTGGACAGATGGCTGTCGGCACGCAGACGCGCTATCTGAGCCGCACTATCGTGATGGGGCAACTCCTGCAGCGAGGGATAAGAGGCGGAACATGTGTGTCATGTGTGTCTGTGCGTATTGTCTGTTTGTTTGTTTAGTTACTGACCGCCTCTTCATCGAATACGTCATCGTCGACTTCGTCCCGGTGCTCCTCGGCGGCCCGCGCGAATGCGGCGTACGTGTCAGGGAGGTTGGCGAACCCCACATACTGTCCGACGTACTTGACCTTCTTGTCGTCGATGTACACCACCTGAATGACACACCAGTGATGGATGGATCGGTCGGTCCATGTGTGGATGGATGGATGGATGGTGGGTGACCTACCTGGTCGGCTCGCTGCAGAAGGCCCAGTTTGTGTGTGACGAGCACCACACATTTGTCCTTCAGCACACCAGCGATGCATTTCTGAAATATGTGCTGCGCCACGTGGCTGTCGACGGCACTCAGACAGTCGTCCAAGAGATACACATCGGCCTGAAACACAGCCACGCACACGGCAAAGAAGCCGTCGAGATGACTTTCCCGTCTCTCTCCGGTTGGCTTACGTCTTGATAGACTGCCCTCGCGAGTGCTATCCGCTGCTTCTGACCGCCCGAGACGTTGATGCCCTTCTCGCCGATCTCGGTCTGGTCACCCGCCGGCAGGATGCTCAAGTCTTGCCTGAGAGGTGCACCACACAAGTGCCACACACTTAGCTCCAGTGCATGCGTTGCGTACATCCGTACCTGAGTGCGCACACGTCGAGGACCTGCTCGTACTTCCGCCGATCAAAGGGCTTCCCGTACAGAATGTTCTCCTTGACGGTGCTGTGGCACACACACACAACACACGGACCCCGACCATGCCATGCACACATGCGTCCCCCCTCCCCATCCATCCGCATGTCATGTGTGCCTGCACGCACCTGTTCTGTATCCATGCCGTCTGTGCGGTGTAGGCCACCTTGCCCCTCACAGAGAACTTCCCTTCATTGGGCGCAAGGTCGCCGATGAGTGCCGTCAGCAGCCCGCTCTTGCCGCTGCCGGTGCCGCCCACCACGGCGGTCAGCTGACCCAGATAGCACGAGAAGCTCACGTCATTGAGGAGTGGTGTCCCGTCGGGCCACACGAAGATGGCGGACTCGATCTTGATGCAGGGGTCGCGGAGCGAGTCTTCGCTAAGGGGCAGGGCGGCCACGTGGCGGATCTCGGGGGTCTCCAAGAAGTCCTGACGAAGGCCGAGGCGACAGGGAAGACGTCTGTCTGTCTGTGTGCGTCTGTGTGAATGCCATGCGCACCTGTATACGTTTGACGGATATGCGCGCCTCCATGACGTAGTTGATCATAAGCGGTAGAAACTGCACCGGGAAGCGCAGCAGGTTGAAGAGAGCCAGCGAGGTAAAGGCGGCTGACACCCACACACAGAGAGGAGAGAGAGGCCAAGGGAAAGAAACAGGTGCACGCAGAGAAATGAGAGACAGCCATTGTGTGTTTGTTGTGTGCGTGTGAGGTTTACTTACTGGCAGCGTCCAGCGAAGTGCGGTAGATGATGGTGTACAGTAAGAACGTGGCGGCCGTCACAAACACGGGCACCGTCATGAACAGCAGACGCACACACACCTGCACGGCATGGCATGGCACGCCACGCCGGCCGACACCCATTGAATGCTCCCCTCCACCACACAATGACGGACGGACGGACCTACCTGATAGACTTGGTATCTCCACAGCAAGCCGAGCTCCTTATCTCGCACGTCAGTGATGGTCTTGAGGAAGCTCTTCTCCCACGCGTAGAACTTTATGACCCGCATTCCAGAGAGGACCTCGTTAGTGATCTTGATGCGCTCGTCCTTGACCTT